TACCGGATTATCGAGGAGTTTCCGCAAGATTTGCTACCTTCAGCCGACATCCAAAACCCATTCATTCCCGAAGTCTACGAATTGAAGGAGGTGATAAAAAGTAGTAATAACTAAAAACAGCACAATGGAGTCACCTTTAGACCCCCATGGACCCGGGACCGACGCCTCCGTTGTTTCCAATGATTGAGCCTCACTTTCTCATTCCCTTCGAGAAGTTTCGAGATGAATTTAGTGAAGATACATCTTTTTTAGGCAGTATAGTCAAACCAGCTGTCAAAAAGGTAGGATCATGTTCATACCTGCTCTTAAGCCTTCAACAGACGCAATTCTTGCATGTTTTCAGATTGCACTGGATCAGGCTGAAACATTTCTCGACCGCATACTCTCCGATGATGTGGAGAGTAGAACCGAAAGCTCAACGCGTTCCGTATCAACTCTGGCGTCAGAAGATGGTTGGAGATAACTCAGTCATGATTTGGACGGAAGTAGTTTTGTAACTGAATGATGATCTCAATTTTTTCTATATATTCTTTCTGCAGATATGAATATTTATTCAACAGAACAAATCCAGTGCTTCAGAACAAATCTATATGACAAACATAGTTTCCAAAAAGACCGGTTTATGCATAAGAGAAAAAAGGATGGTGAAAGAGAGCAATCACAAGGAGCTAACACAGAAACACCCAACACAGAAACAAGATATACAAGGCACTGAGGAGTGAATGTTCGAAGGAGTACAAAGACAATAATGGAATCGGTTCTAGAATTGCACCTGGCCTTTATTTTTGGATGCGTTGGCTGCCAACAATGCCGACATTTTACAGCTGGCAACGTTTAGATAACTTTGTGACCGTTAGCTTCTCTCAGAAAACAGCAAAACTTGAACTTCGCAAAGACATGGACGTGACGAATTGGGGGTTACAGCGAAATGTGATATAGGGCTAAAAAACAGTCACAACGGATAGGTAGTGAAAAAGTACAGGTTGTGGGTTTAGATAAACGCTACGAAAGCAAAATAAAAGTTTTCAGAAGCCTCAGTGAAAAAATCATGTTCCTTAAGCACATTTTC